GTCAGAAGCTCCGGCGGCCCTATACCTTGTTCCGAGGTAGTGGCCTTTAGTCAAATCGCACCATAGAAAAAGTCGACCCCAGGTCTTCCAGTCCCGGTCCGGCACCCCCTTGGTCTTTGAGTCAGTACAATGTCTGAATAGAGGTTCTAGAGAACTCTAAGGAATCCTAAAGTATTCCTTAGGAATCCGGAGGAATCCTAAGGAATCCTAAGGAATCCTGAGGAATCCTAAGGAATCCTAAGGAATCCTAAGGAATCCTAAGGCTTTCTAAGGATTCCTAAGGATTCCTAAGGATTCCTAAGGATTCCTAAGGATTCCTAAAGTGTAATCCTAAGGCATCTTAAGGAATCCTAAGGAATGTGAAAAGTTCAAAAAGAACTAAGAAATGTTCCCACTCATTGTGAGAAACACAGATATATGAGTTGGTCGTGACAGGTGTGACAAAGGACATCCGTGGGAAAATATGTGCTAAGGAGTACAGTTTGTATTTTAGTATAGTAAACAATCAATCATGAGGATTGGTCCAAGTCACATGTGTCACAAAAGTGTGACAGGCCTATATCAGGTTAAATAGTGTTGGAAAATAGACGTTTGTTTCAAAATATATTTTGTGGACTGTGATTTAGTACATTGTCATGGCTGTATTCAGCCAAATGTCATTGTGACTGTTCCAATGCTGCAAGTTAACAACACTATATTGTTAGTTTCGCCTTGCATATCTCATCCGGAGTGCCGACTGAGCAGTTCGCTAGATTCCCTGTGACTGTAACTCTGCAATACGCAACCGAAACTGTCTGGTACTCGAGCGTTGACACTCAAAGCTCACCGTCCAAGCGGTCACGTACTTCTGCGGACGTCCTGACACACGCCAGACAACGACTGACGGTCTGTACTGTACTCTGTGACCGTTTCTTGAAGTGAAGCACTCCGTTTGACACTTCACGGTGCATATACTCCGTCAACGTCACCCGCATCTCGCTTTACTCCCTTGCACGGCACCTGAACGACTACTTCACACTTCACCCAACACACTTCACTTGACATTCCCAACTCCCAACTGTCGCTTCCGGACTAAACTGGCTTGCTACCTGACTCGCAACTCCCATATCTCGAGCTACTTCCGTTTCCTGCCAGCCAAACTTTGCTTTCACAGCTCCCGAGCTAACGTTTACCCTCCGCGAACGGCTTCAGTACTGGCAAAGCTACCGTGTTTGCTTCGAAACTCACCTGGCGGTACAGTACAGTTCATACTGACTTGCATCTTGTACTTACATACCCTTCCCTTAGCGCATTCTCCTTCACACACTTGAACTCGCTTCCCTCGTCGTCTCTTTCGATGATTATTGCACTATCTCGAGCGCAGTCGCGTGTGAGTCTCGTTTTCACGTGGCATTTTCATTTTATTATTATTCTACGTATTTTATACACAATAGACATGTTAGCGCGAACTCCAACCCAGCCAGTCCAGAACCCCACTGCATACACCGACTCCGAGCCGGCCTACCTGCACCTGTGTCCCTGTATTGACGTCCCCTTTTCGCGCGATCGACCACTGGACGGCGGCGGCGGCCCCGCCTCTTGCGGCCAGCCGCGTAAGGGCGGCACGGAGGTGGCCAGATCCGTTCGGGTGGCACGTACCCTTACCCGTGCTGTTCGCACTGGTGTAGGCGATGGAAGGATGATGGCGTGGCGGCGTTGTAATGCACGGTGCGGGGTGCGAAGACGAGGTTCCTCGTGACGGTTGATGTCGCGCATCTGCCGTATGTCCGGTTACCTATGCCTGTCAGCGCGAGGGCTGCTGCGGGTCATTCCAGCGGCGCGGGCGTGCAGTGAGCTGCCGTTGCGCAGCCGCCCGGCGAACACGAGTCCACCATGCAACGGGCTACACGCGACGAGCGCGCGTCGACGTCGAGTACGCCGTGCTAGCGACGGTGTGCTTCGGATGGGGGTACAGCAGCGCTAGTCGTTGGACTCCGAGGTGTATCGGGTTGGTTGATACGGAGTACGAGGTGGACCATGTCGGAGTGCAGCACTTGCGTGTCCGAGAGCTTGACTGCCCTCGCCATTCGTAGAACGGGTGCAGGCCGGGCTACGCCGTTGCCAATGCCCGACAGAACTGACGGCCGGCCTTCCTTTAGCGTGGCGTGATCCCGACAGAGGCGTCTGTATGCACTTCTTGTGTGAATGCTACGTCGATCAGTAGCCGAACTCGCGACACGGTCAATCGTGAACACGTACCTTGTCTGCGTATACAATTGGTATGCTTGAAATCTGCCAAGGAAACTTGTACTCGGACAACGCGCACCGCTACACACGGTGATCAGTGCTCAAAACTCTAGATACACGGAAAGGACGAACATACGCCACAGAGAGCTTGAGCTATTTTTTCCGGTTCGCGCCACGCTCGGTGCCCGTCGCACGCGGTCATGGTACAAAAGCACAGCCGCGCGCGAGCCTCTCGCGCGAGAAGCAGTCACCGTCGCTATATTTGTATGAAGCGGGCGACGGTTTCCGTGACCTTGGTCTTGCTGGATATCAGCGCGGGGGTACTCAAAATTGGCTCCGAGTCGTGTGGTCGTGTGGATGTATTGGTCCCACCAGCGAGGCATGACGAGATTTGAAGCGGGCTGCTGAACAGAAAGGTAAGCGGCGTTCGTTCGCTAGAGCACTGAGTGTCACTTACTGTCGTATCAAGCCTCTGTTTTCGAATCTCGAGAGTCAGTCGAAGATTGCGAGCCGAGTATTCGTATGGCAGAGCAGACAGAGGCCATGCGATGAGGTGTCGCGCTTGAGGTGAGCCAAGCCGTTGGGCAGCTTGAAGACGTGGTCCAGTATCATGCGAGAGACGCGCCGAACAGGTTGAATGTACGCCATAAGTCCGGGTCAATGGAGCGGTAGCAGCGCAGACGTGAGCAGAACGAGAGTTAGGCGAGGGCGAGGCTGATATGATGACGGTACGAGGCAAGACGCGTTTCGCACGACCCGCGCTCAGCGCGCGGCTACTCACCAGGCTCTATCCTATCACCTCACTGCTTACTTCCACTCCCTCGTACTTCAGGCCATATGTGTATGTTGTGGTATGATTGCGAGGTATGCCATGCTATGTACAGAAAATGCGACTCGCCGCGCGCGCTCGGTACAAGTCGCGACGACGAGGAAGAGGGGGGCAGAAATATTGCGTTGAAAGAGTACCGGATTCAAAGATGAATAATGTATGTACGTAGAAAGGGTGCTGGGATGGTACGAAAAGAGAGTGACTCGCACAGTCGACTATCGACGGCGTATAGGACTAGCTAGGAAGAATGGATGATATCGCGCGCAGGTATGATGTCGGAAGAGTGCGCGATATTATGTTGCACTGGCCAAGAAAGAGTTGTTGATATATTGACGGGGACGATGTGGGGAGTGGACTGGGCAGAGAGGAAGAGGGGAGACCGGGGAATGGGATTGGGGCTGGTATGATTGATGACGACGGTACGTACGGGGCGGCGCAATACAGAAAACATAGCGAGGACAGCTGTAGGATAAGATGGACTTGAGCGACGGACAGCGACGACGAGGGAAGACGAGCGGGACGGATATCAAGGCAGCGGCGAGGGAGAGACGGACTAAATAACATATAAAGTTCCTCCTCCGTCAATCAATGTCCATGAGCACCGACCCTGCTGCCCCCGGCGGTCCAACAACGGTGCCATCCGCCTCGCGGACGGGTACGACAAAGCCCTGATCGCGCTCGCGCTGCTGAGCGTCGGGCGCAGGACCCGGTGGACGTGCTACGGGCGGCGGCGTTACACCCGCCATGATTCCCGCAGGCATTGTATCCGCGCGACGTCGCGGAGTCTCGCCTACGGCACCAGCAACTGTGCGCGCGACGAGCGCATCACCCTGTGCAGCCGCCGCCGTCGCGCGTACACGAGCACGAGCAGGAGCAGACGCGCTGTCTGCAACATGCTCGTGCGTTTCGTCGTCGCCGTCCTTCGCCGAACACCAGAACCGGTGACCCTCCGACCAAGCCGTGGATTGGCACTCCTTCCCGCAGTATTTCGCCTTCCGACAGCGACGACATTTGGCGAATTCCCGAGGGTATTGCTCCCAGCGACCGCACAGCACTAAAGCACGATGGTCAGTATGTGTCAAGGATATGGTTGAGCGCGAAAGGGGTGGAACGCAGAAGCCGGGTCATGGAATGAGGTAGAGCGAAGCGCAAACAATCATGTTAACGCAGTAGATTGAGCGATATAAGCAAGCAACAGGCGTTGCCATAGAGTGGCTGCTGAGTGACTGCAATAGCAACAGCAAGCCATGCCGCGCAGCGCCGAAAAAAAGAAGGCAAAACGCTGCGTGCATCGAGCAACAAGTCCGCGCGCGATACACAAGCCCAGCGCCTCGCCATTCGCCACACCAAACCCGGCACCAAAAACCCGAAAGACGAGGAAGACTCACTATTAGCGCACTGCCTAATCCCACCCCGACTGTCGTCCTTCCTACACGCATTCCGCATAATCACGCCCGCCCAATACTGAATCTCCTGCGGCATCGCCGGCGGCGGATTCGGCATCTCGCTCTCCGTCAAGTTCACCCTGAACGTGAACCTCTCCACGAGCGAAAACACGTTCGTCATTCTCCTCGCCCCCGCGCCCTCCTGCGCTTTATCCTCCGGTACGACGACGACGGGCTCCTTCTCCTTCCCGCGCGCGGTGAGCGATTTGAAGAAGTTCGTTGAGGATGATCCTGACGATGAGCCGGGCTGCGCGGCAGTGCTGCTCGCGCTACTGCTCCCCGCCTGCGCCTGCACCCTCGACTTAACAGCCTGCGCCGCCGCCTCAGCCGCCGGATGAAAGCTCGTCCGCTGCTGATAAAACGCCTGCCTCACATGCGGGTACTTGCTCAAATACGCGAGCAGCTGCAAACTCAGCAACACGTCCTCGTCGCGGTAGGGCCCCTCGTGCTCGTGATGGTGGTGGTGGTGGTGTCGGCGCGGTTGCGGTTGAGGCTGGATTGTAGGGTCGTTAGGCGCGAAGGTTGGGCGGTCGATGTTCGTCATGGGTAGAGGCGCAGGACGCTGTAGCGGGGCGCCCGGGCCGACGAGGCCGGGCGAGTCTTCGCGCTCTGTTTGTTCGCCTGGGAGAGTAGCTGCACCCGCGCGGGGCGTTGCGTCGGATGCTGCGGGTCCGCCGCGCACGCGGCGGACGGTGGGGGGTACATCGGGAGGGCGGATGGCACGCGGGGCATCGATTGCACCCGGAGCACCAGGTGGTGCGCCCATAGCAAAGTCGTCGTTCGCCTCCAGACTTACAAGTCCATCTTGAACGCCAACACCCTCCGCGTTGAGATCGGGATCCTGGGATATAATGATGTGGGCGTCGGAAGCAAGTTCGAGCGACGCGCCCTGGTCGTCCGAGACTATTCCGACTGCACGGCGGACGAGGGGAGAGGGTTGTACGGCTGCTGTAGGGCGTACGCGGGTCGAGGGTTCGGGCGAGCCATCGGATGCGCGCGCACGGTCGGCGTCCATATCGACGTCTCCGTCCGCCTCAGGCTCGCCATCGTCCTCTGTTTCGGTTTCTGGGCGGGAGGTATCGCGTGAAGTCGACGCAGAGTCGTTGAGTGGTTCTCGGACACGTGGGCGGCGGGTAGCGGTGAGAGGAATGGATACGGGGCCTGCGCCAGGCTGAGTGTGGCGGTCCCAGACCGGGCGCGCGATGACGGTTCCGGAGCGGTCGCGGCCGGGGACCTCGACTGTGCCCGTGGGCGTGTTGGACCCAGCGGGGGTATGCGTGGCGGACGGGTCCGCGGACGTATCCTGGTCCGAGGCGTCGTTGGCGGGCGACGGAGACTGTGGAACGATCGTATGCTCGCTCGTCAAGTCCATCGGCTGGATCTGGATAACAGCACTGAGCGCGAGATCTGGGCGCGATCAGAGAAAGGGGACTTACTGCGCGAGTGCGCCTGATGCGACCGAGCTCCGCGCGCGCGGCGTCCTGAGCCATCTGCTGCTGGTACTGCTGCTGCTCCAGCGCGCGGGACAACAAAGCGGCCTGTTCGCGCTGCTCGCGCGAGCGCTGTTCGGCCTGAGCCTGCCGCCTGGCCTGCCGCTGCTCACGCGACTCGCGCGGGAGACCCGTCGCCGAAGAGCTGGGCCCAAGCGAGTAGCCCTTGCTCAACAGCCACGCCTCGAGTATGCACCCGACGACGTCCAGCGCGCCTGCCTGGACGACGCGGGAACGAATCGGCTCCGAGCCGCGCACGCCGATATTGACGACGCACTGGAAGGCGAGGCTGAAGCGGGCCGCGGCGGCGCGGTCGTACACGCGCGGGTTGAGTGCGGGGGCCGGTTTGGGCGGGCGGTAGTTGGGCGGGAGGAGGCCGTGGAAGACGTTCGGGTTCTCGGGCGGCGGGGGCGAGAGGCAGAAGTCGTGCAGGATCCGGATCAGGCGCTCCAGGCCGCCGTCCATGGTCATGATCTCCCGTATTCGGGGCGAGGTCGAGGTCAGGTAGCCCAGATGGGTGAGCGAGTTGTGCAGGGGGAGCGCGCTGTTCGTATCCAGCGCTATTGAGGTTCAATCAGTCTCCACCACTCACATTACAATATTAGTATAATATAATACGTACCTCTCCTGTCGTATAGCTGAGAGGAAATGCATACCGCCGCCCTGTTCTGCGGCGGGAAGCAGAAGTTGGTCTCCCTCATCCTGGTGTCGGTCGGTGGCCGTTGTGCGTTGAGAACGAGGCTGATGACATGATCCACCGCGGCGCGCCCGCCGGCCTTGTTTGCCCTTGTTTGGCTCCGCCCACCGCCCTTGATCCCGCCTTCCTCTTCGGGCCTTCCGTGCTTCCATGTCATCCCTCACAAACGTATACGCACTGCCCCCGCATCTGTTTGACGAGGAAGGCGCCATCGTAGACGTATGACTCGTTTCATGTAACAGGATATAGTTAGAATGCTGATTCATTCCATCCGTTTAGGAAACCTTTGTGCAAAGTCTGACTGGGCGCCTCGGCGACACCTCGCGCGCCCGCTTCACCTCCCAGCTGCCCTTCGTACCCTCCTACGTCCAATCAACCCTCAAAACACCCGATCCGGCCCAGCTGTACCGCGATCGCGTCGAGCACCGGCAACTACCGCTCGAGAACCCCGATAAACCGAGCGCGGCGCGGAAAGAGCGCGAAGAGCGGTTGAAGCGTAAACAGGCTGAGGCCGCGAGGAGGAAGAGCGGTGTACCGGGTAGGAAAGTCGTGCATGATAAAGGTGCTTGGAATTTGGTCAAGCAGGACTGCCGGTACGGAGTCTTTCGGCTTACTTCGGTTGTCAAGTGTGGAGTTCTGAGTTGTGGCACCTCGGTTTAGGTTCGAGTTGTTTCTTGCGCTGCATCGGTTATGGATGGGATACATGTCTGAGTTGCTTGGACTGAAGCTGGCGCCGGAGGGCAAGACGGCTGATGCTGGTGCGATGCCGCCTGCGGCGGGGATGCATGCTAAACTCGTGAAGGCGGATATGCACGGTGCGTTCATCACCGGTAAGTACTCTTTTTTCTCTGTCTGCTCCGTCTGAGACGATGCTGACGAGTTTATTTTATGCCATTGTAGTTAAGGAGAGCAAGAACGCGTCGCTCGTTGGTATGCAAGGCATTGTCATCCACGAAACCGAAGGCACCTTCAAAATCGTAACCCGCAAAGACAAACTAAAACGTACGTCCCCTCTCCCCTCCCCACTCCTCCCCTCTCCTCCACACAACAACTCACCCACGTCTCCATCATATACAGTAATACCCAAACGCAACTCAATCTTCACCCTCGCCGTCCCGCTCTACTCGACCTCCCTCCAGCCCTCTCCCGCCGCACCTCCCCCTTCTGCCCCCGCCGAAGACGAGGTGAAGACGGTTCTGGACGCACCGCACATTGCGTTCTTACTTTATGGGAATCAGTTTGCGTATCGGGCGGCGGAGAGGGCGGGGAAGAAGTTTAAGGCGAAGGAGACCATCGAACTCTAGCCGCCCGACGCTCTCTCGCTTTTGCCTCTGCATGGTTCCCCAACACCGCGGCGAGTAACTGTTAGTCAAAACGTGTTGCCTTCAGAGAAAGCGCCGACGAAGCGTCTAACAGTGAACCTATCGTCTCTTCACCTCATGCTTCCTGCGGCGTAAGCAGGAAGGATACGATGCGTACTGGGCGCGGAGCTCAACCGCGGGGTATTGAGGGCGGTCTGCACACCCCCTGCTACGGTGGTCCGCGTTGACGCGCACGGCTGTATTCCATCTGAGATCACGCGCGTACAGAACGTCCTATGCACCATCGATTTTAACCGATTGCGTAGGTACCACCCACCTGAAGCATTGGATACGTTCCCCAGAGGCGGGCTCAACGGACCCAATGAGGACCTTCAAGTTGCAATAGAGGGGAGCTGCGATTCTATATATGTACTTATATGTAGTCGAGCGACCAAATAAGACGACAGACCGTACAAGGAGCCGCGAGCTATTGCTTATCGACGCGGCTATTTCAGGTGATGGCGATGGCCTTAGGGAGAAGCGCACAACCGGTGCAACTGAGGACGTGCTACAGCTGGTGCCCGAATGCGGCCCAGATTGGGATGTAAACGCGTCCTGGGATTTGACATGTGAGCGCGTCAAGGGCGCGTCAGACGCGTCGGGCGAGCGACTCGCCCGCTCTCCCCTTCACCGCCATCTCGTCTCGGTTCGCGAACATCCGCAAGCTTATCTCTCATCTCAGATTTTCTCCAAGCGCGCATAAATATTCCATTGTGGTCGTGGACATCTGGCTGGCCTGATTACCGAGGTGCTTTCGACGCTCATACCACAACCATGCCTCCACGCGCGAATACGAACGCGTCGGCTTCGACATCGGCGATGCCGTCCGATGCAGTAGCACAGCAGAAGCAAGTCACCGCGGAACTTGGAGGGATTGAGCAGTATGAACTTCCGCGTGCAATCGTAACAAAACTCGCGAAAGCCGCGGTGAGTACAAGTTATAATTGCGCCTGTCATCTCGTCGCGACGTCCCTTCGGCGGTCGGCTCGAAGTCGCATGCCTCATTCGTTAGGACCAATGTATCTCGCATAATACTGACTTACTCATTGGTAGGTACCTGATGGCACAAAGATGCAAAGGGACACCGTGACGGCGCTCATGAAGGGCTCGACCGTATTCATCAACTATCTCGGTACGCGCCACATCTCTCTGGCCCTGCATAACCTGACTGACTGCCCATCTCCATCTTAGCCGCCGTGTATGTTCGCTATCCATTCTCGGATAGACGCGAGAACTGACCGTATTGTGTCTACTAGAGCACAAGATGTCGCGCACCAGAAGCAGCATAAGACCGTCAACGCGGCAGACGTGCTTCGCGCGCTTGAACTGATCGACTTCGCCGACGTCGCCGGGCCATTACAAGAGGAGCTCGTTGGTACGCGCACGTCTTCATTCTCATCATCCCTCTCTAACATGGATTGTTGCTCAGCCTATCGCGAGAACCAGCGCAAGACCTCCAGCGCAGCTTCCGCGGCCAAACCAAAAGCGAGCAAAGCACGACCGTCTGCTCCAACAGAAGAGGAGATGAGCATAGATGCCGAGATGGCTGACGCTGCGGGTTTGGATGACGAAGAGGAGGAAACGGGGGCGAGTGAGCGGGGGAGGAGCGTGTCGAGTGGGGCATAGTACCCGAAGTATGGTTATGTTGATCTGCGTTCTACTTTCGATTTCGCCTTTTTCTGTTCGGGGTCTCGCCTTGCACTGCCTTGTACTTGATACTGATGTTTATTGCCTATCTTATGCGTACGCCGTGCGCGTTGACGTCGGCCATGTCATGCTCTGCGTTTGCCTGCGCTAAGCTCCACATTCGGACGGGACGGCTAGCCCGCACTGATGGTCCCACAGAGACATCATCCCTTCTACTCGTTTGGATAACATCCTGTACGTCTTTGGTCAGTGCTACCTTCATGCGGTGTGCTCATATGGATACTGACACGCTATACGTTGTCCAGATCTTCGATACGTAGAGGCGACGAGAAGGTGGCAAATATATCTCAATGGCCATATGGGATCTACGCTCGAAACGCAGATCGCCGAGAGGCCATGGACCAGTCCCATGATTGCGTCTCCGTTCGGGCGACGTATTCTGACAGTTATGTGATCTAGATCGTGGGACGCTAGATTTTGGATCAGTTCTCTTCCATTTCACGAACCGATCGTCGTTAAGGTACCTTTTTCCCAGATTTGTACCTGTTTACCTGCGCAGAGTCGGCATCCATATTGGACGAGAATCTTCCTTACTATGACGATCGAACTCACTGCGGACGCAATTGGTTACCACGCGCTTGCAGACACTTGCCCTACTAACAGAAGAGTCTTTATGACTTCGGCGTTCCGGTTACCTGGAGCGGACTGCACGCTCTTTCCTCGCAGGACGTGCCTTCAGTCTACTACAGCAGCCCCACGTCTTGGGTGTATCCTCCCGCCGGACATGGATCGATGCTTCCCTGGTACGTAGGCACTACTATCATCGCTCGCTCAGGTGATTCTCACACTGTGCTGTTCGAATGATGAGAAGATCATCACCATCGGGCGCATTGACATGATCACGCATACGGGATGCGAACATCTTATCTTACAGGCTGAGACAAGACAGCTGTCATATCAAGAGCGCTTTTGGAAACCTCGGTCTATGTTTGCTCCGCAAGTTTCACTCATAGGTATGCGGATGGGTTTGTGTCGAGTACGGTGAGCATTGTCTAAATTAGTCGCGATACTGCAAGGCTGACCGTGCTGAGCAGATGAAACGACTGGTTATCCTCGCTCATTTCGGCGGCATAGTGTCACTTATGGTCGCTTTAAGTCCCCCGAAGACAATCATTCGATTGAAGTTCTGATCTCATTGGCGATTATGTCAATCAACCTGTCTTGGAAGCCAATGGAGCGGGCAACACCGTGCAATGAACTTCTTTCCCCGGCCGTGTGCTCTACATTACAGGCCTCCTTCCGAAAGCAGTGGGCGAGAAATCATACCGAGGCTATGCACACTCCACGATGAGACCCGTGCACCATACGCCGCCGTACGCCTGCAGGGGTGCAGTATCTTTGCAAAGCACTCCTTGCTACGCATGCCATTCAGAGTGTGGGTGTATACTTGTCTCGATGTCAAGGGACCTGATGGAGCGAGTCGGCGCATCTATCGATATAGGGCGTACTCGCCAGAGAGATGTTCTCTTCTTTCGTGGTTTGCTCCTCCTCTCGGACTCACAACGTCGTGCCGCTTGTTGACTCTACTCCGCCCGTTGCTTCTGCGCGATTACTACGTGCTCTGTGTCCATCGCCTGCAACGACCCTCATGTACGTGGGGCTGTATGCAATCCTCTTCTGGATGCGGCCGCGCGCGGCTACTGCGACGACGAACTTCACGGTTCCTTCGACATGGCAGGTGAGTAACCTGATGCTATCCCCTCTGCTCATGCGCACCTAATTGGTGACAAAACCTTCTCTTTACAGGGTACCGATTCGAACATGAGCCGCAGCGCGCGTGAAGGACTCGCGAACAGTGCAGCTGCAGCCCTCGTGTCTCTGGCCAACCCTAGCAGTGAGAGCCCATGTACGTCTTCCTACTCTCTCGAACTGGCAATGGATCTCACGCGCGCTCAGATTACAATTGGATTGAGAATCATGCTAGTGCATTCGCCGTTCTCTCTCTACAGGACTACTACAGTGGCAACACAACATGGGCCGACGTCGTTACAAACGGCATCCAGGCCTTCAACAAGCAGTACGGCCTCTACGGCAACCCTCAGTTCGCTAGCGACGCTATCTACTGGGGGCTTGTCTTCTTCTACGCGTACAGGACCTACCAGCAAGACGTGCTGCTTGACCTCGCAATATCTGCATACGAGACGACATACGACGCTACCTTTATCACCGAGGCTGCGGCCGCTAGTGACACTGGTGCTGGGCGGGATGTATCCTTTGCTGGTTGCACCGACGGTAAGGCTAGTCGCGTCGCATGTCACTCCCAACATGCTCACACACCCGTCAGCAACCGTGGCCGGTGGCGTGTTTTATGTGGGCGAACTGATCATGTTGCCGCGACTCTTATACTGATCGTCGCCCAAGCTCGTGGGCAACCGCACAGACACCTACGTAAACGGGGAGTCGGTCTCGCCGTTCTTGACGTGAGTTGTCTGCTTCGAGCCTATGCCGATGTATTGCTTCACGATGAACGACAGCCTCTCCGCGTACTTGTACGAACATACCAAGAATGCAACGTACGCTCAAGCGGCTCGGCTATCTTTGGACTTCGTCCTCAATCATATGTGGAATGGGACCATCGTCTACGATGCATTCGACACACACGCCTGTGCAGTGAATGATCCTATAGGCCTCTTGACATCAGATCAAGGCTGGTTCATCGAGGGTAAGCAAGGCGGGCCTCCGTGAAAACCAGGCCATCTAACACGGGCTCACAGGCTTATCTGTATGGGCGAACATCACGAACAATCAGACGTTGACGAACATGTGCGCTTGCCTCGGCACGTTCAAGACGCGGGGTGGATACTGATGCAGAACCCAATGCGGATAGCTTGGAAGCAATCGTGTCAAACGCTACAACACGTTCTGACTGGTCTCTGCCGAACGGTGTCATAGTCGGTGAGCTGCTCGTGCGCGCTGTAGTATCTCTTGCGGAGATGGCTGAAAGCAGACAAGAGTCACCCGGGCCTAACAACGACCACGTAACGCTCAAAGGGATCTTCATCCGCGCACTTGCAGAAGCCCGCGCGCGCAATCCCAGCACTGATCTCGCACAGTACATCGAAGCGTATGCCTTAGTTCAGGTAAATTTCACGTTGCATGTTATGCGATGCGAGACTGATATTTGCTTAGTTCAACTCTATTCTAGAGAACGCTCGATCGCCAGCACCGAATGACAGCTTTTACAGCATAACATGGTTCGGTCAACCTTACCAGTACGTTCTAACGAGGCTTCAGTTACCTATCCGATCAAGATCAATAGTGCGATAGATTACCCAGCGCGATCGCGAACATAGCGGCCATAGACGTTCTTAATACCGCCTTCAGCTTTGTTGCACCGTCTAAGTGAGTACTTGAATGGTTCGTCCGCTGTATCAGCTCTGACGAGGTTCTTTCAGCTCATCTGCTGGAAACGCGACCTCTACTGTCAGTGCAGAGCCGAGTGCGACAAGCACAAGTGGTCCTTCCCAACACTCAGATCATTCGCAAGCGGGGTCAATCGCCGGTGGCGTTGTGGGGGGTGTCGTTGCCATATTCGTCGTTGCAATGGTGTTGATCATCGCGCTTCGTCGTCGAGCCCGCACAAGGGATGATGGCGTTGTTGAGAGTAAGGCAAATGATACAGGCGTGGGGAACGGTATCGAGCCGTTTAACCTCCCTGCGTCTGACACCGGTGTTCCATCGAAATGGCACCGTTACTACTCGTCTGATCATGGGCAAGGTGTGGGTACGGGTGCTATCACGACGTTCTCTCCATCAGGAGATATACATTCCGACCGCAACGAGCAAGGGCTTGTCGGTCTCGCGGCGGATGACAGTACACGGGTCCAGGAGACGAACACCGAGTCGGACGAGCATCTCATCGCGGAGATACCAACGTTGGTTCAACGATTGAACACTCTGTGGCAGCGTCGCGGAGACGTTCCGCCTGCGTACGAGGGCTGAAGCTATCGGACCCTTGTGTGGCGAAGAAATTGAGCTTATGTTGCGCCAGCCTTATGTTGCACCAGCCTTATGTTGCACCAGCGCAGAATTTGCCTTGCTAGCGCGTGGTAACGGTTGTTTGAACGACGAAGCTCGTTGAAATGATGATCAGGTTCGAAAAGAACGTCCAGAGCACACGTGGCATGCGACACATTGACGTTGAGGCCGATGGCCATATAGCTTTAGTAACGTAGGATCTTCCAGCCAAAGAAAGCAGTGAACTACGACCGTCTTATAAGGCGAGCGTGGGAGGCAAGTGAAAGAGCAGTGATCGACCGCTGGCGGGGCCGGCAGCATCGGACCGAAGGTCGCGACCAAATAATAGAACGCTTTCGCAGGCGCCGACCTTTGCCTCTTGCCAGCTTGATCTGCCTGGTCTACTTTTCTGTACGGTACAATCAACGGAGGAATGACCGAAATACGTATATGGCGGTCTGGCGTTCTGTAGGACGTGCGCCTGTATCTGCACACCCGGCCATCGCTCCAGCTTCCAGGCGACAGGCAGATCACGGACAACATACTGGTGGCAACTCACTCCCGGGTTCGAAGGATTAGGCCTGTAACTAGACGTGCCCGCGGCTGTCCGTGGGCTATCGCCGGCGCCTGATGCTACATCTACAAACGCAGCTACCCACGTCCCCCCTCGTCGCTTAAGCATGCCACTGACAGCGATTATTCGCATCTGGTGGTTGCTTTCCGCCAGCACATCTCTTGCGGAAGATGCCCCGAAACTCGTCAATTCGTCGCAGGTACTCGCATGTCACAGCCTTGTGGTGTCTTGCCAGCACTCCCATCGTGCACTTCGTACCGAGATCAAACAACACCATCCGCTTGATGTGATGCACGTATCACTAAGAGCGACCCCACGATGGTTCTTTCCTTCGTCCACCGCGCACTCTTACTGAGCGCTGTCGACCAGGTTTCCGGGTTGAAATCTCTCATTTGGTAAGCCTCGCCGTTATCTTATAGCTACCGTGAGTCTCACAGATCCGCACGTTTTGTTAGCAGATCTTGTCAGGCGTATACCAGTGACCTATCGCATCTCGCTGTTTTGTTGCCGCAGATCTGAACAAGTGGCCCCATTTGAGTAGGAAGACATTTGTCGGCGATATATACATCCCGACATTTCATATGGCAGGTCGTGGCAACGAGCATACGTTCGAAACGTGAACGGACCGAGTTTGGTGGAACACGAAGTTGCGGCTCTCAGATGACCTAGTCTCGACCACTCCTGATTTGTGCATTCTCTGTGACTGACTTGCATGTACGCCATAGTTTCGTCGGTTGCGCCTTGGCCGTATTGTGAGATCTTGAACGCATCAAGTATCTGTGCAGAGGGCGCTATTCTCCCGTAACTAACGAAGGAACTAGTATGAAGCTACGTAGCGCCGGGTGCAGTGTGATGCCACAGATGCTAAGTTATCTCCGAGCTACCGCAGGCCTATTTAAACTTCGGTGTTGGATATCTACCTTGCGAAAAGATCCCCCGCTTCATCTTGTTCTTTGGCTCTTGCGTCGCGCTTGCAATGCTCATCAGCCTTTTTACTGTCAACTTCTTTGTATCAAGCGCATGGTCAAGAGTTGCCATGGCGGGAAATCTGACCACCCCAACTTCGTGGAAGGTACTCGCCGTCTTCGTCTTCTTGCAAAGAGTGTCGTACTGATGTTGCTCTAGGGCGTGACATTGAATCTCAGCCGTAGTTCGTGTGAAGAGCTCGCAGGAGCCGCAGCTATGGCTCTCGTTCAAGAAGCAGATCCCAGCACCCCGAATTCAGGTTCGTACTCAGCTTTGCTATGGAGGCACATAACTCTGTATGCTCATCTGTGATTAGATCTTCCTTACGACGACTTCCATATCAGTTCCTTCGCTGTTCTTGCTCTACAAGATTACTATAGCGGCAATACCACATGGGGCAACACGGTCACTAATGGCATTCAAGCCTTCACCAAGCGACTATCCGATGGGCTCTATGGTACTTCCCCAAGGGTCAATAGTGAGGCCCTTTACTGGGGGCTTGCTTACTTCTATGCATATCGGACGTATAACCAGTCATGGCTGCTTGACTCAGCTATATCAGCTTACAACAAGACTTACGCCACGTCGTTTATCGATGATACTGTAGCATCCAGCGGTAGTGGCGCTGGACGCAACATTTCGTTCCGCCCGCCTCCAGGCTGTACCAATTGTATGTGACCCTCTGTTTCGACTACTTCCGTCAACACTGACATCATATACAGGGACCATTGCCGGAGGTGTATTCTGGGTAGCTATCTAACTCTCTCGACCTCATACTCTCTCTTTAACGCTTGCCTCCAGAACTTGGATACCTTGAATAACACCACAATAAACTCCGAGACGGTCTCCCCGTTCATGGCGTATATTCCCTGACTTCTGCCGTTACCCATACACGAGTTCTCACCGCAGGCACAGGCTTTCTTCCTACCTATACGAGGAGACGGGGGACCCATTCTACGCGCAAACCACTCAAATGTCACTAGAGTTCATTATCCATCACTTGTGGAACGGGACGGTCGTTCACGACTCGTTCTTTCCAAATACGTGTACATTGGACGACACCATCTTCTTAACGTACAACCAAGCTTGGTTTGTGGAAGGTGAGATTACCCACGCGCTCGACTTTCTGATATATCGATGACCATGCGAACGTATATCGTGCAGGCCTCTCTGTGTGGGCAAACATCACGAGAAACGACACGTTGACATCGTTGTATGCGTCCTAGTGTGCCCAGTCCCTGGATTAGTTGAGGCATACTCATAGTGAACCAGCCTAACCTCAGTCGTGTCAAGTGTCACAACATTTCCGGGTTGGACATTGTCTAGTGGCGTCATCGACGGTGTGTCGAACATCACAATAGTTACTTTTCACAGTGTTGAGCTCATGATGCGGTAATAGAGACGGGTAGTAATTCTGACGATAGCGCGATACTCAAGGGCATCTTCATACGGGGGCTGGCGGAAGCTCGGGCACGCAATCCCGATACAGACCTTGCTAAGTACATCGAAGCATATATCTTGGTTCAGGTAAGTTCCTTCGCCGCCGAATGGGTTCATCGCCAGGCTGCACGCTTAACCTGGCTTACTCAGTTCAATTCTCTCTTGGAGAACTCTCGAGCGCCAGCACCGAACAACAGTTTCTATGGCACATCATGGTTTACTTCGCGTCCACAGTAAGCCTTGTTCTATGTCGAATATACAGGTCAACATGTAACTCATCATGAGTAGGTCATTCATCGCTGCTGGGAATATTGCCGCCTTGGACGTTCTAAACGCCGCATTCAGCTTCGCCACACCTACAAGGTCGGTGTTCTCGATTGAATACTCTACCTGAACTGCGATGACTGAGTATTGAATGTCCAGTGACTCGCCTACTGCAAGTAGTCCATCCATGTCTACGTCAAGCTCCATGGCGACTTCTACGGGCAGCGATTCGAACACGGGCGCCATCGCGGGTGGTGTGGTGGGATCCGCCGCCGTGACTCTCGCCGTCATTGTAGGGCTTTTCTTGTATCGGCGTCGGAGCCGAGCAAAGAGGATTGGATTATCCTTTGGCGGACCTTTTACGGGCAATTCTGGTGTCATGGTCGAAGACGAAAACACCGTGCAGCCGTTCGTTCTTCCCGCATCACCCTCGCGCCTATCTAAGTGGCAGCGTTTCAATTCTCCCCGCGTTGATCGAGAAGCGCTTACAGCAAGCTCACCTGGGGACGCTCCATTGCATGACAGTGGGGATGCGCACAACACCACGTCTGGCCGTGAACCCCGATCCACTGAGGGCGACGTCCGCGATCGAAGAGCCATGTCCGAGTCGACGGACCATGACATCGCTGAGTTGCCCACCCTGGTTCGCCGCTTGAATACCCTACTGCAAGGTCGCGGGGGTGAATTGCCACCGGAGTACGAAGGTTAGAAGTTGAGCGTGGGGAGGAGGATACTGTCTCCATATGGATACAGCGACGTGCGACTTATGGACAAAGGACTATAGTATTCACCCGTCGACTACCTGTACTCTTGTTAGTAGACGCCTTGTCAGCGGCCTCTAGTAAAGTTCGATGTCAGGATAGATGCATCGCGAAGTGAGATTTCATGGGTGTAAGTGGTTCACAATTACGCGTTACGGACGTCAAGGCGGTGGCGTGTACATCCAATAGGTGCATGTGGATGAAGAGCATATCAATGGTCCACCGCTAGGGTGCTGAACCCATCCTTGGCGAGCACAACGTAAAGCTCAATGGCTTTGTGATGATGCATAACGACTGACTGACCGATCCTTGGTTGCATTGTGATTGCATCTCTCACTCTGTACTGCGAGAATTACATCATCTGCACAAGCATCGGCCAACAGCGACTTTGATTCCTGCCTCTACACGGATACACCATCCTTGAGCGCTTGCCAGGAGGCTCGCGACGTGATGTCCTTCCACCAACGGGCAACGTTGGGTTTGCCATTCGCGCCCGTCTCGAGCGTATCGTAGCCAATCTTGGCCAACATGGCTCCGTACGGAAGGTGGAAGAGATCCGCGAGCGTGAGCTCCTGAATAAACAATGAGCATGAGGTAGTATCGTCGTGATGGAAAGAGGGCTACGCACATCTCCAGCAATGTACTTCTGCTTGCTCAGAATCGTCTCGTACACATCGAGCTTCTTCTCCAATTGCGCGAGCAGCACCTTGCCCGCCTCGTGGTCGGCTTCCCCGACGCCGAAAGCCCTGGACTTGATGAGTACAAGTCTTTGGAGAAGTAAGGGATACACGTACGGCTTGAACATGATCTCGAAGACAGCGCCAGAGGCGAAGGGGTCGAAGTTAGTGACCTCGATCGAAGCGCCCTGCTCAAAGAGCGCGTATGCCTTAGGGTCCTTGAAAGGCGAAGGGAGGAGCTTGCGGTTGTTTTCGTTCTCGTACTTGAGCGCGAGGTAGCGGCAGATGGCGCGCGACTCAAAGAGCGTGAAACCATCGGTGTCAACCTGTGCGTCGTAGAGGTCAGCAAAGAGTGTGGCCTGGAACGCGGTGAAGACGTACGATGTAGGGAACAGAGCCAAATGGCGCCTTGGTGGTGTAGGCGGGCAACTTCTGCTCGCCCTTGAAGATGTCAACGACGTGGAACTCGTATGGGATGTTGAGCTCCTTGAGCACGGTCGCGATGCGGAGCGTGCAGGTGGAGATGGGGTAGCCGTAGAGTTGGAGGGTCATCTTGATGTATGAGGTGAAGGCGGGATATCTGGGCGAAGAGAGAAGTTGTTTGGTTGTGAGGTTGAGAATCACCAGCGCTAGCTTTTATACACAGCTAATCTATAAACTATAGACGCGAGGAAGGCGTCGCATGGCACTGTTGTTCTCAATCACCGCCAACTGTAGGGGGGCCGACCCACTCCCGAAGCATGTTTGCGAGCAAAAACGGGTATATCACGGCTCACAAAAGGCGCTGGTTGATTGCTCAGCATGCGGGGAGCCCTCGGAGACGGAGGAAACATACAGAATGCATTCCGTGTGCGGCGTAACAAGGTCGCAGTGTGAACTTGATGGGGACTATTCCTGTACGACGTGTGAACAGAAGTATCCGACAGGCGGCCAGTTGATGCTCTAGACGGTGAATGGCATGCTCGGACTCTGTGGTGGCCCCAGTATCACTGCCACATATGCGCGGGTGAAGGAACATATCCTGGCGCGTGACCTCTGGAACTTTGACGGCTAGCGCTCGCTGCTGATGCTGACGGAGAAAGGCGGATACTACCGAGTCGTCTCCGACCTTGGGGTAAGGGTATGAGCGCCTAATATCATCAAATCAATCAATCATCCCGTTCAGAGTACGATATAAGTCATCCTCACAGAAACCCTACTGATTGTTCTCCTCCTGCGTGAGCACTGCCGGAATCTGATCCGTCTCAGAGTGAATGAGTAGATCCTGAATACTGACTTCCGTGCGCTTTAGCACAGACGTGGCATTCGTGAGTCAGACAGTAGTACACAGAGCGAGGGCGGCTGTTGGAAGAGCGAACTGCAGGTGGTGGTGCGACGAGGCCCGACGCGATCGTTCAGCCCGGCGAATTCAATGCGCGAGACTGAAGTGTAGGACTTGATTTGCAGTTCATAAATGTGCGGGTTCGACGACATTGCATTCGACTCCAAGTCATGGCCATACGTATCCATTGCGGACGACGATGAGCGCAAGAAGCAAGACGCGCTACGGGAACACCCGGGCCAGTGAGCCGGTCGCGTTGTTTGGCTGACAAACAAACGCGCCCGAAAGCTCTGGAATTTCCGACCGTTCGCCACGCAGGCTTGCCTCTCACCAGCTCGGTTCTCCTCGTTCCATCACCCTCGCAACTCTCTGCATTTCCTCTCTACTCGTTCAACTAATACCAAATGGTACGGCCACGCACCATTGTATAGCATTTCTACGATACTGACGTGCTTGAACAGGCTGCGCAGGCTACGTTCAAGAGCATCAAGGCGGTTGTTCCCCTTCTCGACCGCGTCCTCGTCCAGCGCTTCAAGGCCGAGACGGTATGTCTACTTACGCGTATAAATTGTGCTTGAGATTGATGCAACGCGTAGAAAACCGCGACGGGCATCTTCCTGCCTTCGTCCAGCACGAGCTCGCCTCTGCCCGAGGCAACCGTCATCGCTGTCGGCCCTGGCGCACCCAACAAGGAGGGCACCATCGTCCCGACGAGCGTCAAGGCCGGTGACCGTGTCTTGCTGCCCGGCTGGGGCGGCAACCCCATCAAGGTCGGCGAGGAGGTACGTTGCGCTGGCATACCTTGTCATCGAGATTTATCCTGACTCTCGTGTAGGAGTACCACCTCTTCAAGGACTCCGAGATTCTTGCAAAGATCCAGGAGTAAATATGAGGCTCCGTATACTCGCCGCGCCGCAGCTGGCAGTGTGAGAAGGGTGTGAGGAGGAGGCCGGAGGAGTAGGTTGCGTCAAAAGTCCGTTGCTATGCATCTTATACATTAGGGTTCATCATCTCTACTACATCATTGCACATTGCTTTGCTCGCATCCCCACTCAATCCATTGCATGTTTTCCAGATTGAATGGCGCGTCCTCGTCGAGGTGACGGCTTGCATAGAGTGACGAAACACGCATAAGTCTAGCGTTCGGACTCGTTTGCGCTCTTTTCACCGCCGGATTAGTGCGGAGAGTATCTCCCTGGACTGGAGCTGGTCTTGGCGCTTGTAACGACGAGGAATACGCTGCACGTCTGAACCCTAACCTGAGCCCCGGATGATCGGGCCGAATACAAGTGTATGGGCTCAGATGTTGAATTCCACCACCGGCACGCAGTTCTCTATCAACCTCTTGACTATGCTGACTACTTAGCCGTTGTTGCACGAGGCTTTCTCAGTTCAAGGTCGTATGCGTGCAAACAGACGTCCCAACCTTCTCGAAATACTGCTCGTCGTCAGACCCATGCTTAGGGAAGATTCGCCTCCTACATTCCTCGTTGCCGCTAGTCTCCCATAGGCGTGTTCCGCGGCTCCATTTGAACTGTCGCTGGCTCGCCGGTATGGAGGTCGAAGCTCGGTACCTCCGAACATCACAGAATCCGAGAAGACTCGAAGAGCTTTTTCAAGGATCTTGTGAGTAGGTCGGACTCTTGAAGACCTTCACCTGGAGTAAGTATGCCCTTTCAGCATTTCACGAGAATCAGGGCGGAATTCTGGAACTGTCCGGGGCATCCACCGCGAGCTTTCGGAGAAGGTGGACCACACTTGTGGCGCGCGAGCAGGATCTAGCGGAGGTACCTATGAATGTGAACTAGTCTATACCGTATCTCTAGTCCATGCTTGAAGCCGTGAATGGTGCGGCCTACGACTGCTGCGAATCGGGGTCCAGAACACATGTCAAAGCGTCCAAGTTGCCGCGATGCTTTTACCAAACTTGGCAAGCGTCATGTCAGGGGAAATTGAGTTGTTGATTGAGCAGTTCACGTCGCGCGTCTGGAAGGCTAGTACGGGGCCCGATCCCGCCGGCATTCCAGGCGCCTTTCTCTTCCCCCGACCATGATCATCTCGCATCACCAGCCAAACCCGAGTCCGGAGATATTCTACAGCACTCCCCTACCAAGCGCCAACTCTGTGCCCGCTCTCGCTGCTCCCAGTCAGCCTCCCGAACCCGCGCAGTTCGTGCAACCGCCTCCCAGCCCGCAGCCCGCTCAGGACGAGCAACCAAAGCCGGCGGACTATGTGTACTACCAGCGGCGACCCGATGACTTGTCTTCTGAGGCACGAGCGCGTGCGACAGCCGCGAAAGTGAAGCTCGAGTCGTTCTACAAGTCCTCGCTCGAGACGACCATCGACCTGAATGTGCAGTACGTGATAGCATCATCTTCCCGCGCACATGGGTCAACGGATCGAGCAGAGGGCACGACCTCGAACGGCGGCTCGTCGGCCTGCCCGAAGACCGTGCGGCGAGGGAGGCGCGCAAGCACACCAAGACGCAGAGCCAGTTCCTGCGTTTGCGGCGGACGAAGATTGGGTTAGGAGACTTCAGGACGGTGAAAGTGATTGGGAAGGGTGCGTTCGGCGAGGTGCGTTATCCCCACTAAGCGTGCTTCGGCGGATTTGAACACTGCGCAGGTCAGGCTGGTCCAGAAGATTGATACGGGGAGGGTGTACGCCATGAAGACGCTGCAGAAGGCTGAGATGTTCCGACGAGATCAGGTGCGACCTTCGCACTTTACGCTATAATGCTGAACCTAATATTCTTATGTGTAGTTGGCGCATGTGCGCGCAGAACGCGATGTTCTGGCAGAATCTACGTCGCCATGGGTCGTGCAGCTGTACTACTCGTTCCAGGACCCGTTGTATCTGTACCTCATCATGGAGTTTCTACCCGGTGGAGACTTGATGACTATGCTCATGAAGTACGACGTCTTCTCGGAGGAGGTCACGCGCTTCTATATGGCAGAGTGTGCACTTGCTATCGACGCAGTACACAAGCTTGGCTACATTCACCGGTGCGCGCTATCTGGAATCATGATCTGTACAACTGGCTGAACAGGGCTGGGCCGCAGAGACATTAAACCGGACAACATCCTCATAGACAAGACCGGACATATCAAGCTATCCGACTTTGGTCTTGCTACGGGTCTTCACAAAGCTACCGACGCCGCATACTACAAGCGCCTCGTCGAGCAGCAACACACCCCGCAACACCAAACTCGCAATTCCGTCGAGGTGAACGCCATCCAGCTCACCATGACCCGCGCGGACACCATAGCGACCTGGAAGAAGAACCGGCGGAAGCTCGTACGACATCCCCGCTCCCTGCTCCGGGTCATCTGCTAACCGCCCGCCCTTGCACCACAGGCCTACTCCACTGTCGGCACGCCCGACTACATTGCCCCCGAGGTCTTCATGATGCACGGGTACGGCAAGGAATGCGACTGGTGGTCGCTCGGCGCCATCATGTTCGAGTGCGTGGTGGGGTACCCGCCATTTTGCTCGGAGAACGCGAGCGATACGTACAAGAAGATCATAGCGTGGCCGCAACACCTCAACTTCCCCGAGGAGGTGCATCTGTCGCGCGAGGCGGAGTCGTTGATGCGCAGGTTGATGACGTGGGGAGACCAGCGCGCGGGCGTGGATGAGATACTGAAGCATCCGTTCTTTGAGACTGTTAATTGGGAGACGATCAGGTCGATGCAGGCGCCGAGGCAACCCCAGCTGACGAGTATCACCGATACATCGTACTTCCCCGTCGAGGAGTATGCGGACGTGCCGGAGACTCCTGCGGGCGTCGAGGCGCTCGACGCCGACAAGGATCTTGCGTTCCTCGGGTACGTCGACTGTTTCTCTATTATATCAACCAACCGCTCACCCGAGATCTCAGATTCACATTCAAACGCTTCACCGGCGTGCAATCCGCTCTCTAATGGGCGTCTCGCGCTTACCCTCATGGCTTCCCCTCCCCTTTTGGTTTACGATTTACGACGACTATACTGGACGAAACGACCGGATACTTTCACTGAACCTTTCTGCACACGGATACTAGACTCGCTGGCCTCCGGCTGTATTAATACGCACTCTGCATGTGTACCGTTGGATTAAAACTGTAATCTAGCAACTATCATCTTCGTGGAACATTCACTCTATGGCGCATGAGGCGTCTTGACTTCTTGCACACGATAGGCCTCTGAGGCGGCCAATAGCAAGCTGGTATATTACAGTTGATAGGTGCAGTGTGTATTGTACAGGGTTATGTCCTTCTCAGCATCGATTCTGCTTCCTACTCAGGCGCCAACATCTCCATCGTTCCCGCGCGCCGCACTGCTCTCGTACTGATCCCCACGCCTATCGCGGTAATCCGAAGCTAAGCGCTGCTCAGCCTCACCGCGCGACTCGAGGCTGTCTCCTCCGTACGGGTTCAACTCGCCCTCGCGCAACTGCGCCCGCGCGGCGCCACTATCGCGTCCTTGACGCGCGTCACCGAGCTCGTTGCCGATGGGGCCGCCCGAGGGAGACTGGTCGATGAGCGTGGGTTGCTCTTCGGGTGGTCCGCTGCGGTAGCCGCCGGAGGACGTCGCTGGATCGCAATGATTAGCCCGGGACAGTGAAAGATTGGGGACGAGGATACGTACTGTCGTCTTTGGGCGGGTAGTTCTGCGTGTCAAAGTCTGAGTTGCTGAGCTTGTCATTGTTACGAGGGATGCTGTCTCCCGCAGCTGGAATGAACGCCAACATGAGACAGAGTTGACTTGGAACAAGAGAGGTGGGCACGCACTGTTGTCGGCGAGAGAGCCCTTGAAGCCGGAGTTTGCGTATTCGTCGCTCATGGTAGTAGTAGTTTGAGTTCACGAGACTGGCGGTGGTGGTGGTGAGATATAGACGTGCCCGCTCCTCCGTTTAGTATTACGCTTGTGCTACCCCAACGCGTGCTCATCGAGCGGTAGAGCGGGGTGGCATGACGTCACGCGTCTGGACGCGACGCGCGCGTTGACGCAGGTTGACGCGCTTTGACGCGTTGGTTGAACTTGGCGCAGCGCGTCTTCTCTCTCGACCACCACCAGCTACCGTTGGTGGTACTATGTGCACCAGCAACTCGGTTGAATAGTATGACTTTGACTTCGTATGGCGTACTCTCTGATACGCAAGTACACAGGCGACGCGGCACGGATGGACCCACCTCGACGCGTCGATCGAGAGTTGGCGTTGTTGCTTCTTGCCACCATGATCGCCGCATTCGGCCTCTGCACCCCACAATCTACGTCCACCATGCTGCAACCATCTGACCCTCCTGATACTCGAGCCGAATACGAGTCATTGACCGTGAACTGCTTCGCTAGAGCTTATTGCCTGAATCGTATCATAGATTGCCACGTACGGCGTCTTGATTATTGCTGAATGAGACCGTCAAGTCCGGTGCCAATCGCCGTGGCTGTGCCATGGCACTATTCTCGTACTTTCAGCTCTCATGCTCTGGTCATCTGTCTCCGAGGTACTTCGCACCACAGCACCCGGAATGATGTGCTGACACACGGAATGAGCGCCCAGATACACGGGCGGCGAGCGCCCTCCGATCACTCTCTCTGGCTATGGCAACGTGCCGAGCGGCATACTCTGTATGGCTAGTCATTTGCACAAGAAGCACTGCACGACATCCCGGGGATGAAGTGACTTCTCAGCATCTGGAGCGTCGCCTGATGTCGCCGGACCGCATGTATTCATTCTTCATCTGCAGTACCACAGAGTGGGTCCGCCCAGGGCATGCAACTGGGGCTATAAACGACCACATACGCTTGCGCCGTATCTGGGATTACTATGGCGCGAACGACTACAGACCCGACTTACCCGCTGTACCCCGTTCTCAGCATTGTCTGCTCAGCATGCCTACTTCTTGTGCTGACAACCACAGTCGTCCGCCTCAAATGGAACATCGGTGTATCTATGCTCTGCGCTGGACTCTTTCTGGAGACTCTCCTCGTTGGCGTCAACACGATTGTTTGGGCTGAGAGCGCAGAAGTCAAGGCGACCTGGTACTGCGATATCTGTACGTGTGGCCGCATGGACTACTCGGCTGCTCTTCACTATACTCATTCAACTTCTCAGACTCCCACTTTAGCATATGGATGAACGTTCTCAAGCCCGCTTGTACCTTCGTCATCACTCGACGGTTGTACCAGATCGCCGCTCGTCGCTCCGTCGAGGAGACCAGCAAAGCCCAAGTGTGTACTAGATCGATCGAGGCCTTTTGACCTTTCATGCTGATGTATCCTTAGAGAAGGTGGGATCTCATCGTGGAGATAGGCGCTGTGGTCGTATTGCCAGCGGTCGTCACCGGGGCTTTGTGTACGTTGGTTTCTATCTACCGTCGACATGCGCATTTATGAAGCCTACAGACTATGTTGTTCAGTCAGCGCGCTTTGGGCTCATCGAAGGCTTTGGGCCGACGAACGCACCGAGCTCAGATATTCTGCAGATCTTGCTGCTCGAGTCATGGGCCATCGGCTTCTCGCTGATTTCCGTCCTCTTTTACTGCCGTGCGTACACTTCTGAAGATCGTTGTCAGATGAACACTGATAACATATACAGCTCGGATCCTATGGGTCTTCTATCGCTTCAAGCGGGACACCGGACGATACCTGAGTGATAATGCCTCCGCCGACTCTATCAGTTACACTCGTATCCTTTGTCTCGGACTCTTGGATGCCCTGATCACCTTTCCTATCGCCGTCGCCAACATCACCCTTCAAGTGAAGGCGAACATCGAGATCTTCGGCTTCATCCCTTTCTATTACGGATGGTCTACGGTACATGAACCTGGATGGAGCCAGCCGATCATCATCACGAAGGAAAACTTCCTCGCGGAGCCGGGTTCCAATATCGCGTTGTCATACGTCAGCTTGTGGTCGTCTGTCGTTCTCGGCTATGCGATTTTCTTCCTGTTCGGGCTCACACTGGAGGCGCGCACGTCGTACCTGCACGGATTGGGGTCTATGGCGAGGACGTTCGGTATTCGGAGGTCGTCTTCTGGCACCGCTGAGCGGCAAGGACACCTCTCCACCCTTGTCTTCGGATCTCTCCCGGGTGCGGTCGATCCCGAGTGAGTTCATGCTGTGCAGATATTGCAACAAGTTACTGATTGGCGCCGTGGCTGTAGAACACCCTTCAGCACCGACGACGATTCGCCTGCCTCCCAAGGCTTTGCCAGCCGCCTACCAGAAATGAAGCAAGGCTTACTCATTGAGAAGGAGCCGACACTGGTGGTGGATGGCAGGCGGTACGTTGCAAACTGTCTTGATAGTGCTGTTCAGTTATACTGACCCTTGGCTTGTACTATAGTCCTTCGGTCGAAGCATTCGTATGACTTATTGACAGCAACTCATGCAGATCGGATCGAACTGTTCAGTTCAAGATTGATGTCTAGTGCTATTTATGTATGTATGATGTCCGAATGTGAATGACTATGCGCATTGTCTCTATTGTTACAATCTCTCGCCGTCCTCTGTCCGCTCGCGTGACCGTTCTGAGGCAAGCAAACTCTCCGTCTCCTCTCCCGAAGCGCCCCGCCTGGGCCAGAGACGAGGACCTCGTATCTGAACCTTCAAACCCAAGTGCCATAATATTCCGGCGACAAAGCCCACTCCATCGTTCCTAAGCGCCAGCAAACCGGCGATGGTGACCAGCATGACCGACCAGCGCTCGCGTCGCTCTTCCTCGTCCGGCTCCCGCGGCTTCCGTCCCAACTCACCATTGCCATCAACGTCTGCCGCCTGCCACAGATCCCGCGCGCCCGCATTCAAGCTTTCGCCAACCTTTGCGAGCTCGACTCCAGCCGCGATGACCATCACGCCTAAGAGGGACTTGGGGAAGCTTGCGAGGAGTGAGACGAATGCCTCTCCGCCCACCAAGCCCAGAAGCAGCTTCGCGAGGCCGAGCATCACGACCGATGCGCCGCTACGGGCGCCAAAGCGGTGCTGTGCGGCCAGTCCTCCACTTCCACGGCATGCAGGCATCGCGCCAAACCAGCATCCGATGAGATTCATCGACGCGACTGAGATGCCAATCTCCGTGACGCTGGGCGTTGGGACATCCGGGAGGAGATCTGCTGCTAGATGCGAGACGGCTATGATGGAGTTGAGCGTGGTGAGCGGGAGTTGGCCCAGCGAGGCGTCGAAGAAGATGCGGATGAACGTAGGCCATGATGGAACGGCAATGGGAATGTGGCGAAGTACAGGCGGGATGTAGGTCGGCGAGTTGACCGTCGCGAGGATGATACCGAGTATGAAGACCAGTAAGGCGTAGGGGACGCGTGGAGCGCGTGTGCACGCGAGAAGAGCGAAGAATGCACCAAGCGCCCAAAACCAGTTGTCGACAGCACTCGTGTTGGGTGTATGCGAGCTCCAGCTCAGTGGTCGTAGCAGCTTCTCCCCCGCGGAGATCACGAGTGAAAGCCCGGCGCCGACTTGTATGCCCTTCACGACAGGTACGGGCACTATACGAGTGGCCCAGCTCAAAAGACCTGTCACGCTCATGAGCATGACAACGGCCGAAACGCCTATGCCGGCTGCTGCTGTTTCCTGCATGGTGTAGGAGCGAAGGATGGCTATGGAAGCGATCGCCTTCATCGGCTGTACGGGTAAGGGTATGCCAAACAGCAGGCCAGTCAGGATATTCGACAAGCCAGTGAAGATCAGCGTAGATGGAAGATGGATCGAATGGCTGATGGTCATGGCTATGAGTAGCGGCAACAGGGTGCCCAAGTCGCCTAACGAGCCCGAGATCTCAGAGATGGGCCGCGTACGAAGCGTATGCAGGTTATGCGAGGCTACGCGACGCATACGCGCCTTTGATAGCAGCATCGTTGAGGTCTAAAGTACACGTCGAGGTGAACGTCAAGATCAAAGTCCCTCCGGCGAGTCAGTACCTGCGCGGTGAAGAGCGCTAAAATGGGTTGTACACGTGTGCATCTGCACTGCGAACCAGGCCTTCTTGGCTTCAGAAGCCTACAAACGAGCTTGACAGACTCTCGGATATGCGTGCTATGTATGAACACGTTGAGGATCAGGAGAATATGTATCGGTATTGGTGGTAGTACGGAAGTAAGCACGGGCCGAAGCAAGTTCAATTCAGGGGAACAACGGCAAGTGCCGGCGCCACGTCGACGCTCTATCGACGTCAACGCGCAAACCGACTTCCAGCATCCAGCTGTTGCTCCCCAACCACATCCCGGCTATCCCTCCTTCCTCCTACCCGCCAAAACCGTATTATCATGGCGTCTCTTCAGGGTCTTGCTATCTCGCTCGGCGTCATGCAGGGTGCGCGAGGTTCATGGTGTTCTTTCTGGTTAATGATCTGACGCGTGGCACGTACCAGTTGCTCGTAAAATTCCTTTCGACAACCCGGACGTCTTGATGTACGTGCGCGCGGGATACGTACTCTCGCAGGCGATCACGCTCGGTCTTTACTACTACATGTCGCAGAAGGTATATACCCCTTTCCTGTATGCTCGTCTCACACGAGCAGGGAACTAAAGCATATTTGCAGATCAAGTCCAAGAACGACCAGACTGTGCTGAAATATGGTGCGTATCGAGTTTAGTTTGCATCTTCCCAAACTCAACCAATGGATTGTTTAGTCGAGCCGGAGAATCCCATGGTATGCATGAGTACTTCCGTAATTCCCATGCATGATGTGACCTCTTTGCGCAGAACCCCAACTCTGGAGGGTTGATTACAACGACCGTACGGGACTATGATCTTGGGGAGACATCAAAAGCAGTACGTGTCCTATCCTTCCGTCGGCTCATGATATGAGCTGAACGCGTGTCCTTGTAGATCCGGGGCGCGTACACGTCGCTCGCAATGATGGGCTTCTTACATCTGTACATGCAATACACACAACCTCTCTTCGTCCAGGCGGTCATGGCGTTCAAGACATTGTACGATTCGAAGGTCTTCAAGATTCACGTACTCGGGCAGCCTGCGGAGGGTGATCTCAAGCGTCCCTTCAAGGTCGCGTCTCTATTTGGTGGTGCGTGTCCCTGCATCATTCTCTCAGCTACACTTGCTGAATCTTGTTTCCCTACAGCGGCCGCGGGGGAGGCAAGGACCGACAAGGCGGCAATTGAGGAGGCCGAGAAGAAGGTCAATATCACGCCTAAGGATGAGTGATTGTAAAGCTGTTTGTAGGCTTACTGGGCGCTGTATAATCTGTACTGGGCATCTACCATACCTTTGCTAATAGTGGATCTCTGAATGGCAAGAGAGGACTTGGCGTCGTGAGACTCGAACGGTAATCCTGGCGAACGCAAATCAATATTCAATACGCGCCATCATCCTTGGCGTGGGTCTCCACTTCGACCTGGGATACAATGGAAGTCTGCGATATGGACGTAGCGTCTATTCAATGCTCATACTGCGGAGGAAGATCTGGATGACCATGCAGCAAGTCATTCAGTCGCCGAACAAGCGTCGGTATCTCCGCTATGTCAGTGTTGCGTGGCCTTGGCGCCCTATCGTGGCCTTCCCCATCCAGCGTCTCTCCAGGTTCAACGCCATGTACACCCTCGGAGCCGGCGCTCGCGGATGAGGTGGCGGGTAAAATTGGCTGGTCACGGGCTGTAGCGTAGAAGCGCTCCCATTTTGAGGAGTGGACTTCGGACACCGCTAAAACAAATGGCTCGGGGTCGTTTGCGTTGTTGAAATCTGCGCGCGGGTCGAGCACATCGTCGGCGCGATGATGGCGGTGGCGGCGCCAAACCAGAAAGGATCCGATGAACACAAGCGCCGCAATGGCCGAACCCACCACACTTCCGACAACGACGCTCACTTCGTGATGCCTGTTCGTCGCTACCGATGCAGTCGGGGATACAGAGCTAGTGGTCGATTCGCGTGGGGATGTTGCACCGGATGGCCTAACAGGAAGATCAGAGGATACTCTCAACGCGAGCAGGGAGACTGACGTTGTGGGTGAGACAAAGTTGAAGGCGGTATTCAGAACATCAAGAGCGGCCATGTTTCCAACGGCACTGAAGGTTCTAGGTACTTGTCAGAGGCATCGAATTTGACGGAGGTACACAACACTCACTGCTCCGCTGGACCGTACCACGATGTACTATAGAAACTGTTGTTCGACGCGACATAGAGGGCGTTGTCCAAGATAGAATTGAACTACTCGGCGACTTGGCTCTTAGTATGCGCTCGGAGCATCGTCATTTCATGAAGCTGTCCTCACCTGCACCGTCACATACGCCTCAATATACCGGCTCAGATCCGTACCGGGGTTGCGCAGGCGAGCTTCAGAAAGGCCGCGGATAAGTATGCCCTTGTATATCACATCGTGATCGGTTAGGGCATTGTGGTTGGCGACGGTTTGTGATGCTTCTATAGAGGCCTACTTTGAGCGCAACGGAAACTGGGCCCTCGAATAACCGACTCACCGCTGATCACGCCATCAGATGAAGACCAGGCAGGGTACGTTGTGACAATTGGTATGACTTCCCCCAGGCTATGACCATGGTCACGAAGAACTCGAAGGTGTAGGATCTTGAGATGACTCACAGTTCTGTCAGCGTATCGTTCTTGGTCACGTTGGCCCACACAGACAAGCCTGCGTGCGGCATGAGTAAGAGGATATGCGGTGTCGCCGTTTCGTATCGCTCACCTTCAATGAACCAGGCTTGGTTATATGTGAGGAACTCAGTCTGCTGTAAAGCGCAGGAGCTGAGTGTGAACGAATCGTGTACGACGGTCCCATTCCACAGGAAGTTGAGTATGAAGTCGAGGGATGCTTGGGCTGCTTGAGCATATATGGAATCCTGCGTTTCCTCGTACAGATACCCCGAGAGTCTACTGTGCATCAGCTCTTGTATCCAATCGAGAAGGTAATTGACCGACGCCATGAACGGTGAGATCGTCTCAGAGTTGATTGTAGTGTCATTCTTGACGTCCACCATCTGTCGATAAGTAGATGAGAAGAGGCACATGCTGAAACGCTTGAAGATCGGCCTGTACCCAGAATACGCCCCCATACGTCGAATCTGGAAGGCTATCAGCGCTGGTAACGTATGATACTTGCAGTGTCTCACGATTCGTGCATCCCACGGGCGGTGTGAGCGATACGTTACGCCCTGCACCTGTACCGCTGGCTGCCGCTTCAGCAGTGATGAATGCATTCGTGTAGGTCGCGTTGTATGCTGCTATAGCAAGGTCAAGTAGGGGTTGCTGTTTGTAAGTTCTGTATGCGTAGAAGAACGCGAGACCCCAGTAGATAGCATCGCTGTTCAATCTTGGACCCTTCCAGTAAAGACCATATTGCCGATAGTATGTTTGTAGACCGTCTGCCACAACATTGTTCCACGAAGAGTTCCCGCTATAGTAGTCCTGCAGCGCAAGGACCGCGAATGCGTCGGTGATCCAATCGCTCCAGGGAAGATCTGGATCATCATCTACGTAAGATCGTGGTGTTTGCCTTCAGAGAGGCCAAAGACGGACCTGAGCTTTGAATGCTTGGATTAACGTGACCGAGGAGTGTCGTAGCTGCATCATGTGCGAATGCCTCACGCGAGCTACGAGAGACATTAGATGTTGTGCCCTTCGATTGAGATTCAGAGTATATCTCCAGCACGCATCGAGGGCCACTGACCTGCCATGAAGATGGGATGGTAAGGTTGGAAGAAGCTGCCGCGGCCGTGGTCCACGTCCAAATGAAGAACATGAGAGTGGAGGTCTTCAACCCGAACATGAGACACAAGAGCGCAACAGGCCGAATGCAGGACTACGTTGAGCGATTAGAACAGGCAAACAGGATGCTCGATATGGATGCGAGGTTATATCTTCGGTCCTGGGTCTACTACACCGAAACGTAGTGCATTGGGGCCACGCCAAGGCAGCAACCCTGGATACGTCTTTCGGAAGACATCTTCCGGTATCTAATGACCCCTGCGTATCATCAATCGCCCATCTTGGATACTATGTGCTTCATCTGTAGATGACATCGGCGGTGCCAGACAAGGTACGTTGGCTCGTTGATTTCAGTGCCTCGCCCATGACCAGTATGAGGCATCTCCTAGCACAGAAGACCAATCATATTGAGTATATCACCCAGGGGGGCGGCGAAACGAGGCGACGACCGTGACGAAGGACGAGGTCATGGACGCTCGCGTCAAGGAGAGATCACATATTTCTTGGGCCACCGGCGGGCGGCATTTCCGCGGCTTCACCGACGGCCCGGTCCGGGCAGCCTCGCATATCGGCCAGCAACATCCATCCATTGATATCGAAATGAATCCAGGATACACGCACCTGAGCGCTTGAGCTTGCTCACTCAGTGATTCATCGTAGATTTTGCATCTTTGGTGGAACTATGCGGAACTTCAAAGTGCAATCTCATCATCAAGGATGAGATTAAGATGATCGGGGTCCAGCTGTACGAGAGCGATCAGCTCGAAGAGAGCTTCAATGCATACGTATCGAGATAGTCGTATCATCGGTAGCAAGGCTGAAAACCCAGCTCTCAAGAATTGCCGACGCAGACTACGTGGGCTTCCCCGCTGGGCTTGCGACGATTGTTGATAGCATCCTGAAACCATCTAGGGTACGGCAAGTTGCACGCCACCGACGTCCTACGTATGCAATGGGCGGCTCAAGACTTTTCCGCCACGAGATTGTATAGAGCGCATGCTTGCATGCAGCGTTGATCCTTCGGCGTGCTTGCGGCGATCATAAAGAGTCCTGGCCGGATGGGCAAAGATATATTTCAGAGATTCACGAGGTAGGGAATGCATGGTAAGTGTATATGCCAGAAAGGGGTCTAGATGCGATACGAAGATGTGTAGCAACTCCGTCTAGTAGCTGAGCGTATGGTGGTGGTGTGAGGCAAGTTCGGTTCCCGCGCCTTTACCGCGTCAAAGCGTGGCAACTGGCGTCAGCGTGTAGGCTACACCTTGGCTTCGTTCCACCACCACCACCATTAGCAGTGGATCTTTCTAGTGTCTTACCTCTCGGCTATACAGTATCTACGGCCGAAGCAGATCTGACGGCGAAACTTCTTCACCACTTCCCCGCTGTCGACTATGAGTCTACAGAGCAACGAGCAGCTTCTCCATGACCGCGTCAACCTCACGCGTCTAGTTCGCAGACTAGACAAAGCAATCGCTGTCCCTGACTGGGAGAAAGACGAAGTGCTCGACGCTAAGATTAAGACCCAGGGTATGTTGCAGGTACACAACCGTCCATCGTGGGGTATGAGTGTGGACCTGACTTGATATTGTAGAAGGTCAAGTTCGCGCGAAAGTTGCTGGTTAACGTGGAGGTATATGATGATATGGATGAGAGCAGGTGCGTCTACTTGGCTCTTCACTCTACATCTCGTGTGACTGACCTATGCTCAGCAAGTACCGCGCCCAACATGCCGAGCTACGTAAAGCGCTAGAGCGCATCGAACAGATTGTGGTAGCTGCCGATCAGGTTTGTCTCCTTCGTGCTTTGACCATGTATAACCAAGCAACTAACGAGCACAATTAGCGAGCAACCAAACCTCTATCACGCCCCCCACCCATACTTCCGACTATCCCGTTACCGCCACCTGCTGCGCGCGGCCTGGAACCTTTACCAGTACCCGCCGAGGCCACATCGCTTCCATCAGAAGTCGACCTTCTATTGGGCGCGACTTCAGACTCTATTTCCTCGCCGGCTCCGGCTGATGTGGTACCAGAACCCGAGCCCACACTGGACCCTGTATCGCCCACATTCCTTCCCTCTCGGCCCAAACCTGCACCGCCAACCTCAGAGTCTATCTCCGAGAAGCCCGCCCTTCTCCAAAGCTCCGCCGTAGTGCAAGAAGAGCTCACATCCGAGCTGGCACGCATGGCCGCACAGCTCAAAGCTAACGCGACATACTTTTCCGGTGCCCTGGAGCGGGATAAGATCGCATTGGAGGGCGCAGAGGAGAAGATTGGGAGCAACTTGGATGTGATGACGAAGGAGAGAGTAAGGTTGAGGGATCATCGGGGGAAGAGTATGGGAACGACTTGTCTGACGATCACGAGTATCGTCGTCGTATTGGTCTCATTTGTGGTCATGTTCTTCATCATACGGTTTACGCGGAGATGAATACGTATACGTCTTGCGCTGCGCGATGCTCATGGTTTACGATGTAAGCTTGTTTGTCCGTCGGTACATATCTCGGGCTCGGGGGATGTAATTGAGTAGTGGCCGACACGGCCGCATTCGGAGACTTCGAAGTTCGGACGTCGTGTTGATCAATTTATCAACAGATCACCGTACAACTGTCTTGACATAAGAATATCAATAATAGCGTAAGTAGTACAGGGTCATCAAACCCCTCGCCGAAGCTCTACAATCGCGCATTGCTCTATCGCACGTTCTAACCGGTATTACGCACAGTTACTTCGCGTATTGCGCGAGAGCACCCTCCGTCCCCCCTACCAGTTGGCTCACATACTCCTTTATCTCTCGTGATGGCCGACCCAGCAGCTCCTCAAGCACCGGAGTGAGGATGGCGCATTCGCCGCGCTCTACCGCGATATAAGCCGTCCCCCACGAACGCACAAACTTGGCGTCCCTAGGCGGCTGGGCCGCAGGACCAGAATAGTGCTCGACGTATCTGTCCTGGCCGACGACGTGGAAGTTGATTGGTCGCTTCAGAACCGAGGCACAATGCTCGGTGAGCTGCGAGAGCGACAGGACATTGCTGGCGCTGCCAGAGAGCAGTACTGTCTCGTTGACGTACAAGCCCTTTGCGACGATGTGTGCGGTGGCTTCGCCGACTTCGGCGCGATCCACCCAGGAGACTGGACCGTCTGCCGGGACGTAGACGTCCGTGTCGCGAGTTGAGTCAAAGAAGCCTTTGTGATATGTCAGTAAGCGCAGCTAGGGTTGAGCCCTGCAGGAGGTCCAAGACTCACCGAGGTAGAACGGGAACGCCTCGATGTACAAACCCTCCCGAATGATCGTGTACTCGACTCCACTGTTCCTTAGATACGCCTCGGTATCGATATGCGGCTTCATAACGTCGGCAACGCCCTCGCCGAACGCGATGCTCGTATAGATGACGCGTTTGACATTCGCTGCCTTGGCCGCGTCGATGGCGTGTGTATGCGCCCGTACGCGCACCTCGTGTGCGATGGACGGGTAGGAGATGATGAAGAACACGTCGATGCCGGCGAGTGCGCTAGGAAGAGTCTCTGGGCGCATGTAGTCGCCCTCTCGAATTTCGACCTCCGCCGGAAGATTGGGCCAAGCTTCGCGCACACGAGCAGGAGTGGGAGAAGCGATGACAAGGTCTGAGGGAGCGATGAGCGGAAGGATATAACGCAGCACCTCGCTGCCGAGTCCACCAGTAGAGCCAGTGAGCAGGATGCGGGTCATGTCGATAAATGTTGGAGTGTCTACTCTGGTGTTCGATTGGTCACGTCTTATGTACTCCTCGTGTGTGTACGGGCAGGGGTGAACAGATGACTAACATGCCATATCGGGGTGCCGATGTTCATTAGAGAAGAGATGCATAACGGTCCATGGACCATCTCTGTGGCGGAAGCGTCGGTAAGCCTGTTCATCGGACTGTCATCTGTGAACGTGGTTAGAGAAGGTGAGTTGCCTGATACAGGCGGAGATAGTGTGGGAGCAAGCACGTACCATTGGTTGGCCCATCCAAGCACGATATTTGTTCCTCGCACATCTGTACTAGTGCAGATAGAGGATCGGCCTGGATCGACGTGCCTGCGAAACCCGAAGTCGATCGGTTAACATTGGCGCAGGCTATAGGTGCAGTGGGCGTCGACGCACCACAATACGGAAAGATCCCACGGTTTGAACGAAACGATATGTAGGTATTTCGCGGGTGAGAGCTCATCGTCTGGACGCCGAGGCTCGCCAGAGGTTATGATCAGCTCGAATCGATACGAGCGCGTGTGCCCAGGATGGTGCTGCGCAGAAGATGTTCACCGAATAGCCCTGGAGCCCGGTGCACATGTACCGGTCACCTCTTGACATGCGCAACGCGATGGCGCGCACCTCGCTGGTCAAAGAGGCCGACAGCTTATTGTGCCAGTACGTTTCTGCCCAGCAGAGTCCGTACATGTCGGAACAGCGGTACACGTCATGACCACGTCGTGAATTGCCTCGGGTTGAACTCGGGGTCCCGGGATGAGGACATCGGGGGCTGGGGACTGTGTGCATAGAATACTGGACCTGTCAAAGGATATGAGTACGCGGGAATGCATCAGAGCGTCAGAATATCGCGAATCGACGACAATGACTTCCGGGGTGACGGCCGAGCCGAGTGAATTAGGCGGCGTTCACCGTCAAATCCGGCTACTCCAGCTACTATATCTCCCAAAACATCCGAGTTCTCAAGTCGATCTTGGTTATGCATGTCGATATCGCGACGGTGCTGAGATGGCAGCCTTCGTGAATGAAGGACAATAGTGGATGATTTCATGTTGTTCGCATGGTGGTCAAGAGCAAAGACGCTCATTGAGCGAGCGCGCCGCGAGCTGGCCGCCCCGCCGACGGGAATCCCGGGTTCTTTACTCTTCAACTATTCAACACCCATTCAAGCTACAGTTCACAGGCATGTCATCCCGCAGCTCTACAGCTACTTCGCATACTGCGCGATGACATCCCGTTCACCGCCAACTAGTTCCTTCAAACAATCTACCATAGCCCTCGCTGGTCTTCCCAACAACTTCTCCAGTAGAGGAGTAACAACTCCGGTCTCCCCTCGTCCCATTGCTACATAGCTCGTTGCCCACAACTTCAGAAACTCCGGGTCTCCGCGTGGCAGAGCCGCGGCATCGGCATGCTGCGCGACGTACTCGTCCTCGCTGACTACGTGTAAGCTGATCGGTCGAGCGAGTATCGAGGAGCAAAGCTCGGCGATTTGTGCAAGCGTCAGCACGTTCTTAGCTGGCCCAGAGAGTAGTATGGTCTCGTTTGCGAAGAGTCCATCTGCGACGATGCGTGCTGTGGCCTCGCCGAGGTCTGCACGCGTTGCCCAGGCAATAGGCCCATCCCCGGGCACGTACACGTTTGAGTCGAAAGCAGCGTCGAAGAACCCTGCGGTGTGTTATAAGAGTCCTATCCTTTACAACACAGTGATGACCTTTCTTACCGAAGTAAAGCGGGAATGACTCTGCGTAGATCCCCTCGCGTACAATCGTGTATTCCAACCCGCTTGCTTTCAGATACGCCTCCGTGTCAAGATGCGCCTGCATGACAGCTGCCTTGCTATCCCCTCCGAACGCGAGACTGGTGTAAACGACGCGCTCGATGCCCGCCGTTGTTGCTGCGTCAATCGCGGCTTTATGAGCGTTCACCCGCTCTGCATGCGCGATAGACGGGTAGGATATGAGAAGAAGGGTATGGCCTCCTTTGAAGGCACTTGGAAGGGTATCAGGCCTAGTGTAGTCGCCTTCACGAACCTCAATCTCCGCAGATAGGTCAGGCCATGTAGAGTGCACGCGTGCGGGAGAAGGAGAGGTGACGACCAGTCTTTCGTGCGGAACCAGAAGAAGTATGTTCTTGAGCACTTCACGGCCAAGACCGCCTGTTGCACCGGTGAGGATGATGTTACCAGCCATGCCGACGTTGATATGCTTTCGGGTGGTGGGGTCGTTCCAATGCGCTTCGCGAGCCTGCTCTTGTATAGCGTACCCACCACGATGACGAAAGCAACGTCGCAGCGTCTACTCATGGAACAACCGTATCCGGGAGGCCGTGCTGAATCAGCAAGGAGCCCCCGGGAACAGGGATGCCGCGCTTCAACCGTATAACCGGGTCAAAAGGCGCGCAAAGAAGACACCATCCCATGCTGGGTGGTATGTTGCACCGGTACGCAATCATAAGTAGCAGTGCGAGAGGGAAATGTGATGACTGGTCTATCATGGTAGCGTGGATGGTGATGGTTTCAAGGCGCTTGTCAGGCCAGGATCGAGTGTAGCATATGCTGAACGACAATAAAATGAATGAATAAACAAGCAAAACGCAATCCGAGGGAAAGGAATGTGTATAGCAGGAACAACTCCGCAACGAGATGGTCCAGCGGCACTGCGTGTATAAACATGGTAAGCACAGCGTCACGCGAACTCAAGGTTCGATGAACGCACTTGTCAATAATGCTTAATCAAGCTCCTCAATCAATGCGCGCTTGCGCCCAACCAGCTCCGACTCCGTGCATGGCCCAGTGGCGTCAAGGACAGTGTGATTCGGGATCAGGCCTCCAGCTGTAGGGATCTGCAGGGCACGCGTCTCTTCGCCAGAGGGGTACTCCGTGATATGACCGAACGAACTGGACTCCTGAGTATCGACCGCAAGGATGGTGCCGTAGATGCCTCCGGCGACCCATGCCTCCGTCGTGTAGTCGGTGTCATTGCTGATAGGGAGCGACGCCTCCGGAAGAGTGATATGCGCGAGGCCGGAGAGGAAGACGACCCATTGTACGTTGGGCGCGTTATGCTGACCGGCGTTGAAGCGCGCAGGGATGATCGAGTAGCTCGCGTTGGCAAGGTCACCGAGCTGGAGGATCTCCGCGCCGGCAGTGCCCGTCTGTGCCGAGGTGGTGAAAGCAGGCTGGAGTGCCCAGCACTGGAGGATCGACTTGCCGTCGAGCGTCGCGAGGGCAGTGACGTTCAGAGTTTGCGACGAGTTCGACATGGTGGCGACGGGCGAGCGAAAAGTCTCTCAACGGAAGTCAAGGCGCACTATCCTCCTATATAGCGCACCTGTCTTGAAGTTGTACGTGAGCTGGCTCACTGTGCAGGTTGAGATGAGCCCTGGCGCGCGCGGCCCGATGTGCCTTGCCCTGGTCAGATCATCTTCGGTTGCCCGCAGTTCATTTTCCCACATCTTACTTGCCTTGCACCACCACTACCAGAGCCACCTGCCGTACTTCTGTCGGTGTGATCTGCTCTTATAGAACGAAGCTCCCATGATTATGTGGACATCCTTCCTCTCTCTGACCATCTCGAGCTTGTAATTCGCAGACCCCACAACCTCCGTCGTGGCCCGAAGGCCCGCATCAGTTGCATAGAGATGTCGTAGACCCGACACGGCCGCAGCTGACACAATGCTCTTGGTATCAGACGTCTCTGAAGTTCTGAGAAACCAAGAACCCATATATCCTTTTGCGCTCGCTAGGGCTTTTTCGATAACCCGCCGGCTTCGACATGTCTGAGACTCCAGCTGCGTCCGTTACCCTCCTTCGCTCCGAGCATGTCGTGCAACCCAGACATAATCTACGCGGGCCATCATGTATCCCGTTTGTGTCCCTTCTGCTCGCTGGTTCCCTGTCTCTCGTCTTCAATAAAATTCGAATATATCGTGCATTCGACGCACTGTCCCCGCTCATCTATGTAAGGAACGACGCTGTAACCTCGCTCAAAGATGGTGGCAACCATACTACTGTACCTCGATATCAATGCGCCCATATTGGCATCGAGCCCATTCGTTGATCCGCTACTGCCATACTTACTGGATCTTCGAGCCGAGCAGGATTAGGCAGCTTGCTGTGTGATATGGTAGTATCTTCGTAGAGATTCAGACTGACCTGAGAACAGGGCCCTCTTGCTCAGAACTACGTACTCACAGGTCCTCGTTCTTATAGATTGGCGCTGCTCTTTATCAGATCTCATACCACCGATCATGGTAAGAACAACCTAGTGCGCGATCACGATCGAGGCCGACTAGCATCGTGCGAAGACCCCGCCGCCGACACGGGACCGCTCGGGTTTACCTGATGGCGAGGTGCACGGTCAAAGTCTTGCGTACGCCCTCTACTTGGGTGGAGGGGCCTTGTCTCTGTCTTTATGTCCGTCGCAGCTCATACCAGAGTACGAAGGGCAGAATGGTATGGTATACTGGCGAAAAGCTCGGGCGCTAGGGTTACACCGGCGCGCGGGACCGGGCGCTGTAGCCGGGGCGGACGTTCCGTGGTGCTACGCCGACGTCCAGGAAACGCTCTCCTAGGAACGTGGACGGCATGCTCATCGTACCGGATGACGACGGTGGCCAACTGGTGGTCATCGAGACCAGCCAGAGATGTACATTGGATTCAAGATGGTTTACTACGCACCGACACTTCCCATGTGAAGCTGAGTGGAATCGTACTCACGTCCATATACCGCTTCGAGACAGATGGCCCAGCTTTCAGCTCCTTGTTAGAGCATATTATCTTCGAGATAGACGGCTAGACCATGCACATGCTAATCAGCGACAGGGCTTGACCCGACGCGAACAGGCAGACACGATAGCGTACGTCCGCACTACAGCGAAAGACAGCGTGTTTGCAAGCAAAGCACCCATATTCCACACGACGCTGGCGTGAACGATGTCCTGCGCCCCCGTCATCGTCATGCGCGCTTTTGGGTTGCGCACGGGGTCCAGATGGGCAGATTTGCGATGTATCGGTTGTAGACGCGTGAGGCGGACTAGGAGTAGGTAAACCGTGCACGCGATAGAAGTAGAGACAGGCAATGAGGGCACACAGAGTAAAAGTAGCGGAGGCATGATAGTTCTTGTGAATGATAGTTCTTGTGAGAGATACCGTGTTGGCATGCGTAGAAGGTTGACCAGCTAAGAGCACAGTCGACCGTGACGCCCGGCTTCAGGCTTGTGCTTTTATGGCCGTCTCAAACGTGAACAGCGCTACTGCCGATGCGTGTACCATGATCTCAAGCTGGGAGACTCCTGGCGGCCAAACCCATGGCAGGTCGGTATGACTCTCTAGTTCCCATGTCATACTTGGTGAATGCCTGACATGGACGCTGCCTGCAGGGCGAGCCACGACTAGAGAAAATCGGTGGGAATCTTATCCCGAGGCTGAAAGCAGTGATATGTTCCCCTCAAGCAGGGCTCCATGTTCTGACACAGCGGCATCTCCTGTCGTCTGCGGGCCGTAAGACTAATGGTGGTGACGGAGGGAGAAGAACTGGGGGCCAAGTTGATGGAACAATGAACATAACCGCAATTGATCCGGGGTGTACTCGTATGGGCGCCTGCTGACGGCGCTTCCGGCACGGCTTGCGGCAGCGTCTAGTTGGCCTTTATCATAGTGAACCAGACTAAACCACGACTCTGCTGAGCCTCTTTGACAACTATACTAAGAACTACTTTCCATCTCATGACTTAGAACATCAATCTTCA